ATAATTATCGAGTTCCAACAAAATAAATAATTATTATCTTTATAAAAAATTATATTATTAAACCAAATATAAATTACTTCGTTATTGTACATAAATTAAATTATAAAAAAAATTGGATTAAAATATTACAAAAAAATGAGGAATTTCAAATAGTTAATTTGATACTAATATCAATATATTTTTGTCAAATTTTTATGACATCGTCAAACATATATTTTATTCAAAAATAAAAACATCATCGTTTTCTCAAAATCACATAAAGCCATATTATAACATCGACTGAAATAAAGAATAAAATGAAATATTAAAAACACGATGTATCTCGCTGCATTGCGCGAGTACGCTTCTAGTATATATATATATACACATATATGGGGTTGGGTTCACGTGAGACCCAGTGTTTTTCGTGAGACCCGTAAGACCAATTCTCAACCCTTGGATTATATTTACAAGACTTCTCAATAATCACAAAGTTGTCACCGTACAACTTTAGACCATTAGATCATTAACTTATAAAGTTGATCAATGAACATAAATTGGTCTTATGGGTCTCACGTGAACCCAACTTTTTATATGTAGTATCTAAACTTAAAAACTATGTTGTTCTTTAAGTTTGAAAAACTGATAAATAAATTTATTTGATTCGGGTTTAAAAACAAAAACCCGTTTTTCAGAAGATACAGATTTTCGATTGTTTATTTATCTGTTAACTGATAAACTAGTGATATTCAGTAAAAACTTAATTGATAAGTGTTACATACAATCATTTGAAATAAGATAGGACATAATAAGATTAAAAAAAAAACATATTAACTTTTCAACAGATTCAAAAAATAAGTTGATTTATATTTACAACAATCAGATACAATCAATTGTAATGAAGTGCGGTTCGGTTTGTCGATTTTGTCGGTTTGATGCCGATAAATCGCAGACGGGTCCCACTCGTGAAATTCACCATCTTTGAAAGAAAAAGTAGGAAAATGAAACGGTTTTTGTCCTTTTTCGTAAAATAAAATTTGTAGAAAGAGAAAAAGGAGACCATTACATCACCCCTTTTGAATTCATTCAAAACCACCCTCTTCAAATCAAAGACGCCATCACGAAATCTCCATGTGTACGTCCACTTCCTTTGCTTAAATGCTCTTCTCAAGCCTCACACGTCCCCATCTATCTATATATATATATATATATATATATATATATATATATATATATATATATATATAGACACACATATATACACAACCCCACCACTCCCCCCCACCCCTCTCCTTGTTTTTTTGGTGATAACTAGAGGCCACCCTCTTAATCTCTCTATACCAAACCAAAAACACATCACATTATAGAAGATAAAAGAATCTATATATATATATATACATATATATATATATATGTATGTATCTTTCTTTCTCTCTCTATATATAAACACATCAAGTTCTTGTTTTTAGACCGAACCCACGTCGGTTTTCGAATGGCGATCCAAACCCAATTGTATTCGGAGAATCTTGGCTTTCCGTTTGTCGCCGGTGATGACGGTGGTGGCGGCGGTGGTGGTGGTGGTGGTGGTGGGATGAATTTCTCACAAGATTGGATGGAAAACGGTTGTGGTTTCAATGATTTCTATCTTTTGAATCTTAAACAACAACAAGTTTCAAAGAATCAAGATTTTGGTTTGGAAAACGGGTTTTCGATCAATGACAACGACAACGACAAGAATATGTTGATGCATTCTCGATCTTTATCGGCGTATATTCAAAAACAAAATCAAGAAATTGATGGGTTCATTAGCTTACAGGTAACAAATTCGTTTCAATATTTTCTTCTTCAAATTGATTCGTTAATTAACCACCTTGGGTTACTACGTACTGGTTAACGCTCAGGGGAATATACCAGTGTTTGAATAATTCAGACACTGTAAAAAGCCCTTGTGACCATGGAAGTTCATTCACCTGCAATGACTCTAGGCCATTCGTGGTTGCCTAATGATTAGTCAGTGCGCGTAAACTGAACCAGAAACCCACACTCAGTAGAAGATGCAGTGGAAATCTCATCTTTTTCAGTGTTCAAAAAATCCAGGTCATTTGCGATGACTCCAGGCCATTCATGTTTCCGTAAGGATTACTCGGTGCGCGTAAACTGATCCAGAAACTCATGGTTTTTGTTTGTTTTCCAGAATGAGAGATTGCGATTGGCGTTACAAGCCCATCGAAAGCAACAAGTTCTAACGATCTTAAAGAAATACGAATTGAAATCGGAAGTTTTACTGAAACAAAAAGACGACGAGATCAAACGGGCGACAATGAGAAGAATGGAGCTCGAAGAATTGCTACGAAGAACGGATATCGAACGACAAACATGGCAGATTGCAGCAAAGGAAAAGGAAGCAATGGTCATGAATCTGAACAACACGATCGTGCAAGTTAGAGAGAGATGGATGAAACAACAGGATGAGGAAAAGTTGCAGGTGGTTGAAGATGAAGGTTCATGCTGCCATGGAAATGATGACGTAAGCAAGCAGAAGAAGATGATGATGAAGATGAAGATGGTGATCTGCAAAAGCTGTTTCAATGAAGATTCATGTGTTGTGATGCTTCCATGTAGACATCTGTGTTCGTGTAGATCATGTGATGCTTTCTTGAATTCATGTCCGGTTTGCAAGATGGTGAAGAAAGCTACCATACAACTAGACATGATTTCAGATTCCAATTTGTAAATTATTTATTTATTTTTCAATATATTTATTAAAAAAAGAAAAAGAAATATTTATATTTCCATTTTTAGGAAATTGTTAGAACATCTTTTATATCTTAAAAAGAGAGATTTTATAAATTTAGGTGTTATTTGTTTACCTCTTAATAATTTCATTAAGAGCTGAATCTTGTTTAGGGTGAAAAAAATATGTCTTAATGGTTTTAAAAATCTGTGAATGATTTTGTATATTAAAATACAGGAAAAAAAAATGAAATATGTAAAACTTGATACTAAAAAAAGTATATATATATATATATAGAGAGAGAGAGAGAAAGAGTTTGTTTCAAATACAACTTATTGCATTTGTACAACCAATGCAACCCAGTAAATTGAAATATTTATGGAAATGATAAGAGTTCATTCATTATGATTTAAATATTTATGTAATATGAATATTGTTCATTAATTATGACTAATACTTTATATTAGAAAATAATCAAAACTTCTATAAATTACATATTCATCAAATTAAATGAACGGTTAAAATTGAGTTATATTGATTGTATAAATATAAGAGGTTGTATAATAACCCACCTATATATATATATATATATATATATATTTAATTGTTTCCATTCAAAGTATAGTGAAACTACCTCCAAATCTTTTAGGAATTTTTTTATATGGTAAAAAGAAAACCAATTAATTATAATTCAATTTATTTCATTTTTAGGAAATTATTAGGTGTTATTATCTTTATTTCATTTTTCATAAGAATGTATCTAACATGTTTTAAAAAGTCTAAGGAGTTGTTTAACAGGTTTTGGAATGTCCAATGACTTAATCATTTCAAACACTTAAGTCCATTGGAGTTTTTTAGACTTTTCTCTTTATTTTTAGCAAACTCCGAATATCTTTCTTCATAAAATAGTAAAAAAAAACCATAAATCAATGATGTAAGGCACTTTTGCTGACGAGTTTTTGACATTTTTTAACGTATCCGGATGAAAAGTGGATTAACCGTAAAAAAAAAAAATTGAGACATTGCAGTTTGCAGCACCGTAAGGACATGACCCAACACACAGAAAGCTAGCAGAAATCACATCTTGCGGCGTCCATGAAAAAGTATTTTGTGACGTTAACTTCAGTTTCTTGGCTGTTTTGTGGGGAAAAAAGAGTTTAAAAATAGCTAAAACATAAAAAAGAAATTAGCCCAGATGGTTCTTTATGAAAATAACGAGCATCTCTAACCGTTACGATAAAATAAAGATTTAGGAGTTTTTTTTTGTTGTGACGGTTACGCTAAAGAATGTTAAAATACAAAAAGAGGAGTAGTAGATAAAAATATCTAAAATTTGAAATATCTCTGAAACTTATACAGAAATCGTGTGTTATTTTAATTGTTTCCGCAATAAAGTTGAGTACGTTATAAAATATTTTAATAATACTATTAATAATGTAATTCTTAAAATAACTGGTTGAAGTTGGATGTAATTTTTAATTTTTTTTTTTGTTTTAGATGATCTATTTTAAGAAAATTATGACATAAAAACAAGGTTCGAAATAGCGTGTGACGTGACGTGGCGGCGAGGTCAGCCTCAAACACGCTACGGTGAGGACGTGTTTTTCAATGCGTGACATAATGCGGTAAATTTATGTCATATTTAGAATTATATATATACATATATGTTTTTTATATATTATTTAATTCAGATAATGATATATTAAAAATATACATTCATATTAGAAAAAAAAATTATATAGATTATTATTATAAAAATAGTTTTGTGATTAATAT